AGGAGATCATTGTCATTATTAATATGATATACTTTTTTCATATAATATTGTTGCTGCTGTTGCTGCACAATGTCAAGAAGAAGAGATGGATGGATGGAGAGAGCATCAGCAACAGCAGTACAAAAAAAAAACTAAATAAAGAGCAGAAGGAAAAACCAAATAAAAACAACATGAATCAGCAGCATGAAAAATAATCTTGCAGTTTAAGAATTGCAAAAAGAAGACGAAAAAGAACTTGGCGAATAAGAGAGAATGTAAAAATTCTTAAATGTGCGATGCACATTTTTTTAATTTATAAAAATATATAAAAAAAATATTTTGAGCTAAAATGAGAAGCAGTGAAAGAATATAATTTTCAAAAAGGGCATTATAAAGTATGCAACAGCTAAGGCGAAATTCTGAAAAATTCTCTGTGTTGTATTTTTATTTTTATTCATTCTGGCACTTTTTGTTTTGTTACGGTATTTCAACTGCTGCTTTTTTTTGTATTCACATTCTTCATCATCATATAATGTATGAACGAGAGGAGAGAAAAGTTTAGTTGCAAAAGAAATATTACTAGATTATAAATGAAGGAACATTTTCATTCTATTTTATGATCATCGTCACTTAATGTGCTGGTTTCTCCCATCTTAATAAATTGCTCTATGTACACTTTACACTATATGAGTGCATATATAAAAATAAATCAAATTAACGAATGAATATCCATCCATGCAAATCTATGAGCTGCAACAGTTTTTATGTGCACATATCACTTCAAGTCACACTTTTGAGAATGTCATACAGAAAATTAACAGACGTTTAAATATATATCATATAATATGCACTTACATTCATAAATCATTTAGGAGAGAATATAATGCGAAAACACCTGAAGAATATAAAATTGATTCTCATTCCATAAATATCTTTTTTTTTATTATTTCATTTTTTTTATTTGGTTGTCTCTTTTCTACCAACCCGTTGAGAAAAAGAGAAAGAAAGAACAAGCATGAGCATCAAAAAAAAAAAAAAAACAATAACAACGACAAACTGGCAGAGCAATAATAACAACAACCATAAAATAGCGTTTTTGGAATATTAATTTTACCGGCTGTTTTATGTAATCATCGATAAGTGATAAAAATTTCAATCAATTGCTTTTTCATATGATTTAATCGTTAAGTTGAATCGGTATTTTATTAGTTTTTTATGTGCATCGCTGAATGAAATTGCGACGATTTTCTGACAAATATATAAACGAAAATATTTTATTTCGGTGTGTTGATTCATCATAAAAGATAGTTTCGGCACTTGAAAATGAAAATGTAATTGTTATAATGGTCTCGTGTGTACGAAACATTTCATTTTATATTTCATACATACATATATCACATGCCACATGCATTCGTTTTCATTAATGAATTTATCATTGAAGAATGAGTTTAATTAACAAGTTCAATTTTTTAAACTCACACAAAATAGGTGATTAATACATAATCATCATTTTAAATGTTTGATTTTCTCTTCGTGTTTTTTTTTCCTTTGTATTTGGTTAAATAAATTGTAAAAATGTCGATTGTAAAATTGACGCATTCGGATCGAAGTGGAAAAGAAGGAGATATGAGGGCAATAAAGATACAGTTCATTCATTTGTGATGAGGAATAAAATCCAAGAAATTTCGAATATATAAATGAAGAAAAGAAAGAAAAAAAAAAGTTTTACGACTGTTTTCTTTAAGAAGTCATAAAATGTATGAGATTTTATCAAAAGAAGATGATGAGATGAGATGTAAGAGAGTGGCGTATCATCTGTTGTACTTTAAAATTGTAAATATTTGCGGGACTATAAAATAATTTTATGTGTATATGTATATCACGTAAGAAACAAGGAGTAAAATGTGTTTTTGGCTCGAAACTATTAGACGATGATTATGACGAAAATGACGATCATCATTGTGACTTTATGAATCATCATATACAATTTAATCCTTTAAGCTATGAATATATCTCATCAAGTTCTATACGATATACTTTTTGTGTGCCAAATGATTCAATTCAGTCAGCCATTCATTTATGAAGAATCAAATAAGAAGATGATGTGTATAAAAAGTCACAAGCATTAATAGCATCACTAAAGCCAGAAATGAGAGGCACATAAGTGTTAAATAAAGTATAACACCATATGCGTTAGATATTTTTTTTGTGTGAGCACAATAAAACCATTCATTTCTCATAACATAATCTTCATATGTACAGAAAAAAATTATTTTTAAGAGAAAAAAAAATATGTATAGTATAAAGAATGTGTATTAAAATATTATATGAAGAAACACCACTGATGTGTTTTTTGAGATGAAGGAAAAAATCACATTTTTCTTATTTTTTTTCTTCTTTTCTTTATAAAAAGCCACATTAAAACCGACACATACTGAAAATGATTGTGATGACATCAAGGTTTATTTTAAGAAAATCTTGAGAGAAGACGGTTCTTATCTAATTTTAGAAAAGATGAGAAAGAAGGAAAGAAAAAAGGAAAAGAAAGATTCTTCTGCGTTGGCTTGTTTATTTATTTTTTGACTCTTGTTCTCTCCAGCTCACTCACTTTCCATCCATTTCAATCATATCTTTCCGTTATGTCTAATACATGCACGCATCAACTGATGCATTGAGGAGAGTGTTTATCATATGGTCTTGAAAAAAAGAAGAACTTGAAGAAACCTAATCCAGTTTCATATTTTTACTCACTTTCTTTATAAAAATATGCCCCGACTTAATGGAATTAATGGAAAATAGATGAACGAAATGTTCACATTTACAGGAAATGCCTAGCTAAATAAAATCAACGCCACGCTGCCTAACGATATCAGAAAAAAATGTATTTATAATGAATCTTGGGCAACCGAAATATATTTACTTGTATCATAAAAATTAACGTTAATTACAAATTGTCGTTATAGCATTAATACTTCCATTTCGTCACTTTTTTCCTACCAACTAAGTTCAATTGTACGATGATATATTGATAAGATATACTTTGATAAGAGTAAACAACAAAACTACGAATTTTTTCCTACTTCAAACACATTTTATGATAAAAAAAAAGTTATGTTTAGAAAATAATTTTTTTTTTCGGATTCAACCAGCAATCATCTATCCATCCATCCATCTAACCATCTATCTATCTGCCTATCTTTCCAAAAAAAAAGTTGTTAAGTCAACAAATTTATACATGTGAGCACCTAGTAGTCGAATATAGTCAATGTCTATTTATTTACACACTCAATACAAATTTTTTTCAAACATCAGCTGATGCAGAGGTGTAGGTAGGTCAGAAACGTCAAGGTTATTTATTATTTCCAATTAATACAGTTACGTCAGCAAACGATGAATTATTATTATTACTATTGTTGTAGCTTTATTGTGTAAGAAGAAAGTGCTTTCTCATTCTTATCATTCATTTCTCACCCAAAACAACCCTTAAAAAAGTTTTTCGACTCTGTCCAAAAATTTTCTCTAATAAAAATCATTTTCACTGTGCCTTCCATGAAATGAAAAGTAAAAAAGGCAATAAGAGAAATATATTGTATACATAAAAAATGAAATACATGTCACATTTAATTTGATCGATTACGTTGAGCCTACGAGAAATAAAGATTGGTGTATAAATAGTATAAAGTAAGTGAAAAGCCAAGTAACTTGTTGGGATCGAAAAAATGAGCGATAATAAGCTTAAGAATCATTAATTAATCATATTTATTATGTATTGCTTCGCTTGCTCACTTAACAACTTTTTTTTTCTTCTCTCCTCTCAATGGACGTGAAAAATTCTATTCAAAAAAATTAGTTTTATGGATAGACGTATAGGAGCAAGTATAATGAACCAGAAATTCATGCATGCACATATTTTGTCCCACAATTTATTTATTTTAGTTGCTCAATTTTTTTTAATGAATATATAATTTTTGTGTTGTTGCTGTCGTTGAGAATGAGAGTGACGAAAAGAATAATGATTTTAAATGTCAGCCAGCCAGTCGGCAGTATATATTGATGAAGACGGGGATAGAATGTTTGTAAAAGAGGGGTTGGAAAGTCAAATGAAATGATTATGCAGAAATTTTATGTTCAACGATCAAAGGATAGTCAAATAGAACTCTTTTCTCACTTTTGAAGGAAGAAGTAAAATTAGGCAAAAAGTTAAAGGGTTCTTCTTCATCCAAATACATAACAGAACCACATGCTGTCAAGTATAAATTGATATGAACAGAAACAGCAGTTTGACTGTAGGAGATCGAGACAGTATATCTCGTTCTCTCTCCTTTTGATTGCCTGTTTGTCGATGACGTTCATTTTAAAATCAGTACACGACTAAAATAATTGTTTAAATTAAAAAAGAGGGAGGTAGAGGTGGAACAACTTTACTAGCACCAAAGTCCACGAAAATCAATTAAATAAGTAAACAATCGTAAAAAATCAATTTTATTACATACTCGAATTTTTAGCTACCTAATATTGCCTCTCACAAAAAAAGGGGAAATCTTATCAGAAACTGTTTTTTTATGATTTCCCCACAGAACGAAGAAATATTTGAAATAAAAATACGACAAATATTAACGTAAGAGATAAATGTTCATTTATATACGCAAAATTCTTTTCTTTTATTTTTATTTCATCGTGTACTGCTGCTGCTGTTTGGAAGAATAAACTTCGCTATACGCATTTACGCTACTTACTAGCTATTGCGGAACAAGAGTGTGGCTGATCATTAATTTCTAAACATTTTTTAATGTTATTTGTTTTTCTAGGGAAATCAAATTAGTCAACTATCGTCATACGAAGAATGATGATAAAAATATTTGAAGTATGTTTGTGATATATCAATGAACACACACGCTGTATGTACTTTTAATTCATCGTGTTATCAAAAAAAGTGAGCCAAGACCGTAAAATTTTTTACATTGAAATAGAATATAAATAGTAATCGAATTTGATAAGGACGACATGCTTTCTACGCTTACCTGTTTACTAAAAACTGCAACATCTTCACTAAATGAATCTGATGAACATACGTCGCCTCCTGCTACGCCAGGTTCTCGAGGTGTACATGTAGCAAGCTCACATTTTTCAAATATTAATGCCAATAGTGGAAATAGTGGATGACTGCAATGAGATAAAAACAAAAAGAAAAATTATAATGTGATAAATATTCTTATGTACATAAAGTCATTTGAGTTTATTCTATGAGAAAAACGTGAAGTACGATCACAGTTTACTCATGATAAATGTAATGAAAAATATCTCTTCTTCTCTCTATACAACCATGTGCCCCAAATCTTCTTCTACTCTTTTTTTCATTATTTCATATACATATTTTTCGCTCTTAATGCCTTCTCGCTTTATTGCCCATATGAAAATACATTTGTGGCAATATTTACACAAGGAAAAAAAATTTAGATCGTTTAAAGTCATATACAGAAGCAAACGCGGTTGTGTGACAATTCTACCGGGTAGCTGACTGAATCAGTAGCTAAATCAACATAGATGAAATTTTTATAACATATACAGTGAGCCATATTCGAGAGAAATATGTGTAATGCGCGCATTTGAGCATTTGTTATTTTTCAGCTATGGAACATCAATTCATAGTTTATGTACAAATACTTAAATAAATTATCCTAACGTTAAATACAAACATATCTGTATCTCCACTAACAACAATAACAATATCTTGCTAGTAATTGTGCGTTGAACTGAATAACAAAGAATCATGAATAGCAAAAAAAAAAATCGGAACATTCTTTCCTATATTTTTGAAGTAGACATACTTATATAGCGAAGAGGAGAGCGAAAAACGAAAGAAATTCTATGAATTTTGAATATCATCGATAAATTATAGCACAACTCGTAATTTTATGCTATGTCATTGAAAATAGTACCTAAATACATAGAAAGATATAGTTTATTGTACATAGCATGAATTGTAGCTAATGCATGTTATTTTATTATTATTAACATGAAATAAGTAGTTATTTAATTTATTGAAGAAAAAAAAATTCTAAGTCAAATTATCAAAATTTGTAGATAAATTTTGATTTTGATGTATTGGGGCGCACACTTCGCTTTACTGCTGGAGAGGAAAAGAAAATTCATCGAAGCATATACATTTGATTAAAATGAGAGAAAATAATTTTCAAGGTTGTCATAGTATTTTTAATGAATTATTGTTATTCCCAATGAAATTATTGTTATTATATGAATGAAAATTGATTACGTCACATTAACTGCCATGAATAAATATTTTTTTATTGAGATTTGACCACGATTGTGGGTATTTATTACGAATTAATTTTTACTATAGACGATTTTATGTTTAAACAAATCAAAAAATGCTTATATCTCTATTGATATAATGGACGTTTAGGTTGATTTATAAATCAAAATATTTCAGTCTGCTAATAATGAGCTTGAATGACAGGTTTTCATCTTTAACACATATCAAAAAACTCTTATCAACCATCATGACAAAATATAAATGTCAAACTCCTGACATTTAGTATACAAGAATTATATTTGATAGACTCACTCAGAACTTCATTCTAGAATCACAAAATTATGAAGTTTTTCATGATTTTTCAGCAAACATTGATATGATATTGAGAGTATTTTGATTGACTGTTTCAACTCATTATTACTTGACATTACTACTGATTACGTATGCGCTTCAATCATTCAGGTTTTACTACTCTCAACGTCTCTCAACCATATTTAAAATTAAATTTAAAACCTTTCCACTTCACATGACTAACTCATCCATTCGTCATGCAATCTCGTTAATATTAACAAAAGAACAAATCTGATTCACTGAATGTCTGTAGAAAGGAAAATCCGTTGCACAAATTTTATTGCCAAGAAAAGCAAACAAAACGCAAAACTTGAAAAGATTTCCTAATATACTAAATATAAATTTTATTTTTCTTGATCACTTTACTGCCCTACAATCACGATTTCCATTAACAAATATATTTATTTGCATTGTTGTTACTATTTATATGGTAGCAATATTAATTTGTCACTCATAATAATCTCGAAAGTGAAACATTATAATGCAGAATATTTTGTTCGATATGTAATACAAATTATAATAATTAAGCACAAAATTTTTACGACTCAATGTTGTTGCTTATGCAGTTGGAATTGAGGCATATAAAATTTACATTTTAATATAAACCGTAAAAAATGAGGTTTAAAGTTCTCGGAAGTATTGCTCACTTTCCTACATACGTTTTGTATATGCATGACAAATTTTTGGGTTATTGAACATGAATCGTCGCCATCATCTACAGAGACTTCATTTACTCATTCTAAATTTCCATTCATCTTAAAATGAAGAAAGAGGAGAAGACGAAATGTTTTGTGTGATATTTAGGAAATAATTTTCTTAAAAGTGTCGAACTGCTTCATTTCATTTATTGGCATCTATTTGAAGAGATTTTTTTTTCATGTTGATGGCGAGAAATGAAAAAATAAAGAGGAAAGAAGAAAATGACGATATAACAAAAATAGCGCTCATTAAATTTAAACTGCCTATGTGTGTCTGAATCTATCTGTTTGTTTAAAATGTCCTCATAATGTGATTGCCTGTAGTCAGTCATTTTTGCAATCTATTCCAAAGTATCAACTACATTCATTTATGAATGTTAAGGCGAGAAACATAAAGAAGAAAACAAGCAATTTACAATTCTTTTAATATTCTGCATAAAAAAAAGTCATTAAAATGCAGTAGTATATATCAAGTATGCATTTGTGGTGTGGCAACAAATCGACTCTATTTCTAATTCGAAATTAAAATGGAATGAAAAAAAAAAGTTGATGAGATGTATTTACATGATAAGCACAAAAATTAATTTAAATTTAATTTTTCCACAGCTTATCGCATTTCAAATATCTAATAAAAATTCTTCAATCATGATCATCACATGTGAATGTCTGAATGTCTGTGTGTAAATATAAAGCATGTGGAATATTAATAAAACAACAGTTTTATAATTTTTGGACATGCACATGACTTAAATATTGCTTGCTTTAAAAAGTAATAAGAAAAATTGTATCAAATTCTCTCATTCTTTTATTTTTATTTCACATCATATTATACTTTATTTTATTTTATGTTTGTTGTTGTTGTTTCCTTTAAAACACCTTTTGCAGTTAATTTTTTTATTGCCTTTTCATGCACTTGTGATAAAAAGAACGAGAAAGGAACGAGATAGAAAAGGAAATGAAAATGTGGGCACCATCAATAAAAAATTTATCCTTTTTTATACTCTCGAAACTCATTTATCTATCATGAATGAGAACATGAAATGTTAATTTCTGTCAAGCATCAAAAACTGTTTTTATATATTTATTTTTTCTTGACTTTTAAAAGTCATGTTAAAGACAAATTTCACCTATGTTCTGACTAATGAATTTTTTATGACCTAATTTTTTTTGAGCTTCAGCAAAAAAGTGTGAGCATTGTAAGTTAGAAAAATCGTCTTTCTCCTTTAAAATTCACTTGTAAAACGACATAAAGAATTTTTTATTCCTTTCGTTACTTTCAAAACTGTTTTTGAAAAAGGAAAAATGAGAAAAAGAAACAACAAAATGCATTCATAAATTTTTTAAAACATATGACGACAGATGTTATTATATGTATGCGCGTTTGTATATTAAAAAGAGCATAAAATATTTTTTTTTTCTGAAAGAAAGGAGGCTCCACAACCTCTATCTCCCTTTCCTTTTTTTCCTTAAATGCTCACTTTAATATAATATTATTAAACTTCCTAAGCACAAATAGCATGCTATTCATCAAAAGGTGATAGAACTGCCCTCGCAATCTTCCAATACATAAATATTTGTGCAACGATCTAGAACGATCATCAGTTTTATGTTTAAGAAATTATAACCTTCGATTAAGGGAAGGCTAATTTATAGTCTTTAAAATATTTCAATTAACAAAAAAATAAAAATGAAAAGTTTCATTTTAAGGATCATGTTAAAAAAAAAATTTGTTCTATGTCGTTTAGCAAGTCTATAATTACTAAATTATCCTCACACATTTAATGATTATAATTTTCTCTAAATTAGATAATTTATTTCATTACAAAATACTATGACAAAATAATTTAAAATTAATTGGAAAAGGAGATGATTCAACTTACCCATAAATGGCTTCTTTATCACGTTTGTCTGGTTGAACAGCACCCCCCATATGATTTGTTGTCTGAGATACATGACTAGGTGTTCCATGATAACCATGCATTCCTGCCGCTGCATGATTCATATGTGGTGAATGGTGTGGTGGTATTCCTGGCAAGCCAGGTCGATGTCCGGAATGTGGATCATACATTGCTGCTGTAGGATCGGTCATATAGCCATGTAAACCATCGTCATACTGTAATGTTAATTAAGTAAAAGAGCAAAGAGAAAAAACAAATTATTATAAGATGAAAATTTATTTTATATGAAATATAAATTGTGCAACTTTATGGGATTTCATTTCATGAAGTTCCTTATTTGAGTGTTTTTTTCCACTTCTAAATTTCTTCTTAAAAAGTAAATTGTAGAATTGTGTGTGATGTGAAGTGTCATTGCTTGATCCACATATATGCAAATATAAAATTTCCAATTTTTGTTTTGTAAGACATTTCATTTAAATGCATGAGTTGAGTGAGGAGGAGGAGAAAAGAAAAAAAAAATGTTATTAAATGACATTGTCCGAGATGGTTAGTCTCAGCTCAGTTACATTAAATTATTATATTATAAGCATTTTTTTCCATCTTTTTTATATAAAATATATTGAAAAGAGCGAAGCACAAGCGGAGAGAAATAGTAAGTATTCAAGGTGATTCGGTTTGAATTTGTAATTTAGTGTCAGATGTAGATGTGCCTCATTTGCATTTGGTAAGCCGATATATTGCGATTGCATTATGAGGCTTTAAATTGAACCTAAAATATTGCTAAGCCGGTTATTTAAATTCTCACAAATATTAAAAAGACAGTTTCTTTCTCTCTCCATCTTTCTTTCTCGTTTTCAATTTTTTTCTGCTTTGTCACTTGCTAAACTTGTCAAATGATTTAAAGATTTTTGTCTCACTATCATACCATTCCTTCGCACATTTTCATGAAATTGTGTAGTATAAATAAATAAGAGTTTATCCATGAAATTGAAGTATATATTGTTGTGTATTAATACGACGTTGCCATATTTCTTTCTTTCCTTGCAATCTTCGCGCATTTACAAGTCCAATAATTTAAAATCAAATAAATTCCTTTGGTGTCATTCGGACCAAAAATGATTCTTATTTTCATATTTCATTATAAATAAATATTAATTTCTGATTGGTTTTTTTTCAGATATTTATAAATTTTACACACAACAGCAGTATGGTCTCTTTTGTCGTGTTCTCGTATACTATATTTTCAGACAGACTTGGAGATTTCATTACAAGCTGAAGATATTCATAAAAATGTAATAAAATGTCATTCTTTTGTTAAAGAATCGAAAATTACCAACTCTGAATTATGTCTGAGGGGTCAAGAACAAGTTTTCACTTTATTCTCTTTTATAAGACAGCAGTAATGTCATATAAATTTCCTTTACGATGTGTTTTATTCATTGACAATTATTATAAACTTTATTAGTCATTTTTGTGGACAAATTTTTTAATCTTTTTAAAAATCATAATTTTTTATTCTTCGTAAAGCCAGTTGGATGTCAGGTCGGCAATTTTATTGATGTTGCTGATTTTTTTGTGTTGTTTTTTTTTCATACACAAAAAAAAATTAAATTCTTCTTTTACACTTTTGTCTCGTATTTGCTCTAAAATAATTCGTCTTCACGAATCGTTAATATGTGTGTATAATATAAAAGAGAAATGAAGGCAAGTGAAGAATGAAGTCAGAAAAAAATTAAGGTATTTCTTGATTCCTCTCGTGTTAAATACACATTTCACTTTTCGATTTCGTTGCTTTTTTTTAATTCAATCGTCTTTTTACATTTCAAGATGATGGACAAAAACATTTAGTTAAAAATTCTGTTGACAAGAACCATTAACTTGAAATTGCGTGTTTTTAGAATTTTAAAAACTTTTTACATTTTTTTTTTGCCTTCTTTCATTAAAACGAGAAAAGAGAGGTTTTTAGTTTTCATGAAAAACACTTATTGGTTTCTCGTTCATTTTAAAAAGAATGTGTGAAAAATATGTTTGTGGCTGAAATATATTCAGATGATGGTTATTATTTTTATTATTATTGTTGTTATGATCCCTCATCGCAATTAGATGCTTTTTTTGCCTTTCTTCAGCGAAAAGATTTAAAAGAAATGTTTTTAAGATATTTTAGTTGTGCTGTGCGGTAAAAGAAAGGCAAGAAGATTGAGAGAAGTGGATGAAGAAAATTTTTATCTTGAATTTTAAAGTTAAAATCAAAGATGCTTTTAGACGCTCTGGGATTATTTAATTAATTAAAGTTGGACAAAAATGAGAATTTACAAGACAGTTAAATGTATATTTTCATATCTTCTTCTTTCTTCTCTTCAACATTGGTGCTGTAATATACATAAGCTGGGAAAAAAATATGAAAAGGAAAGAAAAAAAAAATCTTCATAATTTAAATATTTTATCGAAGTTTTAAGATCTTTTTTGTTCGCTTGTTATTCAACCATTTTAAATATATGTATACTTCTTCAATACAAGACATAGAGGAGAAGAAAAAACCTGAAATCGTCCAACGGACGCACCTAATTTTTTGTGCTTTGCTTCTCCTTAGCATCTACTCACATCTCTTTATATATACACACATTATACATTTTTTTTGTTTTAAATCTCAATGACTTCTTTTATCACACAAAATAAAATTTGTTAACCTTTTTGGATGAATAAAAATTCCTTCAATTCCTCTAATGAGTTGTACGTCTATTATTTTCAAAAATATGTATTCATATTTTCCTCTTTTGATTGATTCGATATAGGTTCATAATCAAGTATACTAATTTATACAACAATACGCACAACACAACAAATCCATTGAATTGGAATATGTACAACAGAAAGCGAATGAAAATTATTATTAAAATGATAATTTGTCTTTTTTGCATCATATAATCATTTCATAAACTCCTCATTCTATAGACGTATACAGCGATGAGGCATATAAAACGAAAAAAAGACATTTAGCATCAAGCAGCCATGCCATGGCAAGTTAAGAAAAGGAAAGAAAAAAATTATTATACCTTAATTACTTCACATTCTCTTCTGTCTTCTCTTTTATCTCATTCCTGTTACTCACTTTTTTTATATTTCACGAGCAAGCACATATGACAATTCGATAAATATATTTGGTGACAAGTTTATTAGTTTGTCTTGAAGAAAATTTTATTTATTTCAATTTAGCTTGCATAACTAAGACAAGTGTCAGATAAATATTGTAACATATATTCTTTTTTAATTATGGAAGTTTTTTTCTTCCTTTCCCTACTTCGCTTACTTGCTCGCTTGCTTGCTTGCTTGATGATGTGATTTATTGTACATGGAAGTGTAAATTTTATAATGAGACGATGACTGCGGAAAATAATTAATATTTTAAAAGGTAAATTCAATATGTCTATATGTTAATTTCTTTGAGAGTTTATTTGTAAAAATTGATTTAATTATGTCCAGAATATCTTATAGAAATTACTCTGAACAAAGTTGTCAATGTAATGTAATTTCAACTAGGGTTTGGCAGTCCCGATAGTAAAGAAAGTTTAAATGAAATAAAATAAATCAATTCACGGTACTTTATGCCATTTTAATATTGCTTTTTCTGACATGACGGTCTACACACAATTTGCTTTTCAATTTCAATATCACAGAAAAAAATTTAATCACACATGAAATTTATTTTTTAATTTTCCAATTTAAATGGTATTTAATACAAATATAAAAATCAGCAAGCAGAAAATTGATGAAAAAAAAATTCAATTTTATCTTTAAAGTGTGACTTTAATGCCCGCGGTAGAATCAATTTTTTTTCATATTCATATTATTCGTATACACGTGATAGGTATTTATTTATTTTTTATACATTTCACTATTTTTCACTCCACTTTCTCACCCGCTCCTCGCATAATATGATATTAAATACATACATTTATATAGGTATATCCATATAATATTTTTTATATGAAATTAAAGTGTGAAATTTTTCGCCACATATATAAATTTTATAATATCTTTAAATATGTCATAAACAGACACACTATATTGCATTCCAGTCATGTTAATTTGTCATTACGTATACACTACAAGATTTATAGGCTCAAAAATTTATGTATATTAATGTTTATTCTATACTTATAATGTCTCAAACTTTGAAAGATCTCTTTAAATATTGTATATGTAAAATGTTTATCTATTTTAATTTATGGTTCCGAAGAGTGCTAAATATTTTCCAAAATTCAGGTCAATCGATCCTTTGTAATTTTCACTACGACAGGAATAGATTTACTAAAAGATTAACATTTTAAATGAATAATTTGAGACTAGCAAATTGGCAAGTTTTAAAGTACATTGTGTGAATTATTGTTTGAATTAATAGCATTCAAACACTTTTTCTCGATCAGGAAAATTAATTATATTGATGTCTTGTGTTTAGCTTTAAATACTTATATTGACGTTTATCCGTGAAATTATTTGTTCCAATTAATTTAATTTCACATTTACTGCAAATTTTTTCAATATGTTTACCCACACGAAAGTAGCTGTATTGTTCATTGCTTTTATTATTAATTTCTTAAATCAATAATAGCAATTTGGGTATATTATGTGGCAATTTTTATTAATTCGCAATGAAGCAATTCATTGATTAAGTCTCTAATTTTTTGGTGCTCATTAAAACGTTTATCATCATACTTTTTGTCTTTTAAAATGATTCGATATTATAAATACTAATAAAGTTGAACTTTTTATATCTTATATAGTAAGGCATTTTGTTTCAAAACATTCAATTCTATTTTTTTTTAAAAAAAAGAAAACAATGACTAAGCTTTTACCATCATTTGTTCATGTTCATTTAAGTATATACTGATGATATCAATTGATTTCAATAAAATACATTAATGTGAGAAACATTTATTGAAATTGTTTTTGTTAAAATATTTTTTTCAATTTAATTTTTTGTTTATCACAAATATGTTCGCTTATTTTAATTAAAATTTTTTATCAGAAATTAGAAAGCAAGATGAGAAAAAATTTCTATGATTCGTAATAAAAAAATAGCTTAATAGCTTCAAAATGAATTTTTTTAGAATTTTAGAGCGCTCATTGATAATATTTTCGCGAATCGGCGGTATTAATTTAATGAGAGATATGAATTGAAACTTTTAATCTAAAACACTTAATTTATCAAAAGTTCAATGATCAGCAGCGATCACACTCAGAAAAATCTTCATTTCAATCAAATTCGTCTGCGGAATTTATCACAGACACAAAGAAAAGTGGAGCGAATTCTAGTTTTTGATTAAAGAAGTTTTAATCAATTTTTCTTCATGCGTGTTATTTGCGCGAAGCGTTTAGTTAAATACCGCCATCATCTGACTTATGAACGCAAGCATAAGTCGGAAAAATTACTATTATTATTTTTATATAAAGTAATTCACATATCAGTTCATTTTGAGATCTCAATAATTTTATTTGACGCTAGTTTCCTTGTAATGATTGGATTTTCTAGAATAATCTATTCTGATGTCATTTCTAATGTTAATGATAATGCGTCTACAAGTCTGAACAATTTTAACGTTAGACAAAATGTTCATTTAGAATCACAGAATAATTTTGCTCGTTTGCTTGCCTTCTTCTCATTCATATTCCCTTTTTTTTCTTTCTCAATTCCTAAAAATTATTCAAATGAGCATTCAGGCAAAAATCCTTTTCTTTTCTTTTAGTTTTTATACTTTTTGTGCTTAATATTCCATCCATATACATATATACATATTGAGACGTAAATAGTTGAGTTTCTTTTATGAGTAACAGATAGATAGGAGCAAAAATATAAAGAATTATAAAAAAAATTGAAGAAAGAGAAGCAGAAAAAGGGAAAAACTAGAGCTCAAAGCTGAACATAAGAATTCAATAAATACAGAAGAA